CGACCCTATTCCTGACACCTTTTCTATAGCCATTTTGTTGGAAAGGGAGGGGGGTATTCAAACAAACTCCTGGAAGATTAAAATTTGACTACTTATTCTACAATTACTAATAATCTTGTTGTCCCTAAACAACTAAATAATAAGGTGGTTGGGATGCAAATATTGACCCGACTTTAACCGGAACGATTTTCTCAGACATTGTTAACACACTATTCTGGAAAATGTGTCATCACAGATAATATAAACTTTGTTGTTCCTAAATTGGAACAAAAGGCGGAAAATAAACAGAAAACAAAAAACAGAGTTCTATAACAACTATATGAACTGCGTAAGTGTTGCTTCAGAAATCATAAGGTTAACCTTACTAATGCATGAAACTCATTACAATTTACAGTTATATGACCTTGACTAGGAAATAGTTTGAGACCGACTTGAAATTACAAACACGGATTAAATTTCAACATTGGTATTTCAATCAATATTGATGTTGTTATCTAGCCGTGAAAACAAAAGGAACTTTTTAAAATCAGTACACGATTCGTATATTGTATGGTTTCGGGTGCCATCTGTAATGAACACAGAAAGACATATCCTACAAGACATATTATCCTACAAGATAATGCAGAAGTAATCATTAATGGCTGATCCACAAGCGACAAAATAATAATTTTAGAAAATGTGTAGAATGGACTAGGCAGGCATAAACGACTGAAGTTCAACTTGGACTGTTCAAGTATTTCACCAAACATAATTGATTAGAAATTACAATTTAAAAAAAAAATCAAATAAAATTGAAGATAATTTGAATATGACCTATATTAGATTAATATTCGTTTATTTAAGGTTCCAGAGAACAGAGCCATACGCCCTTTAATGAAATAAAATGAGAATGGAATGGCAATATAAAAACGTTTCGAAGACCGTTGGAAAGTGAATAATTTTGCAAGGCATCATATTTCAAATGACTAGATGTCTTCAATTTGGTCAAAAGCTGAAAATTTGAATGTGCTGAATTAGTTATTCGTGTAGACAGTGGTTATCTGTCCGCATTTAAAATTTTATGTCTACTCCAATGTTTAGATACAAGTGATTTTGCTCCCAACAGTCGACAGTGTAAACTCAAGATTATCTTTAAAAAAAAGATTTCGGCTTAATATTATATCGAAACGAAAATGCAATCGTAAAGAGTTTATCCTGTCACTACTCGAAATGAAGCATCAGGCCTCGAGTTCACAAAGCATTCTCAGACTTAAGTTAAAAATTTACTCAACTTTCTATCGCTGTTTATGAGAAATATCTTTGATCCAGAAACACAAAACTTTGCAAATAGTTTCTTATTGATGTATTTGATACATTAAAACAACAAAAGTTTTATAAAGGGCAATATTTTAGTTAAAATAAGGCAAACATTTTTTGAGTAAATTCTTAACTTAAGTCTGAGAATGCTTTGTGAACTCGGGACCAGGTCATCATAATTCAACAATTTATTTTTTGACCTAAGAAAATGATGTTTAGCTACTTTAAATTATTTGTTTCCAGGCGTATATTATTTTTCTCGTCATCCGACCTCATTTTTACACAAAGGTTAAGGAGTTCATTTAACTAACAAATTACATTTGTACCGTGGTACTTTTGTGTTTAAACGACTGGACTAGTATTTCTGTAGGTACCTATAACCCTGGGGATATCATCTACAAAGTAGATTTATTAAATATCCAGATTATCCAGATACAAACCAGTTAGCTATAATGTAATGCATTTTGTGCACGAGGTGGGCATACTTACTATATCTTACTATATTATTTTGTTGCACATTTGTGTATGAACAAAAGATTTATATTAGCTATACAATTATATCTACAAGTGAATCAATGGCCCCTTTCCTCCGTTTTTAAGAGAAAGGGTCATTACAAAATTCCCCAAAAAGAAGTTCGGGAGTAAACTCAAAAATCCTTGAACATTACAACACAGTCGACAAATGATTTACATCAAAATAATTACGTTCATCGACAACAATCACCCACAGTTAAACTATGTGCCTTCACATTATATATTATGGTACAGTATAACCTACCTTTTCAGACAAGACAAGAAATGGTATTGGTCCACCAGGATATCTATTTGACACAGAAACGGCTTTATTGCCCGCTTACAAAATTTTTAAAATGATATTGCAGACAATAAATGGAAAATATTCAAAAATTATATGACCTTATTATGTGGTTGGTTGAATGTCATGGGTGTTCAGCTCTTCCTTCTAAGGTTACATTAGTGAGCACATCGGTATGAACCTGCATTCTCTCTTCTCTGAACTGTCTTGTTATTGTTGTCCGGTTACAGCTCTGTGATTCTCTTTGACATGCTAATGCGTATATTATATGGATGGACCTCAATTTTTGTCCCATCCAAACAACTAGGCACACTTTCAATGTCAGCCTAGAACTAGATGGCGGCTTTGGTGTAGAGTTGACTTGGTACCTTATTGTTTCTAACTATAAAAATCAATCTTAACCTAGACATTATTGAAAACCATACAATATATATACAATACAATACAAAATAGACCCAAGTAGACCAAATAATAAGTAAAAAATGGGAAAATATGAGGTCGTTAATAAGTTCTCTAGCAGTGTTTCCAGAAGTCGACTTGATAAATCAATTCTCAGCTGGTCTAAAATAGGAGTTCCATGAAATACATACTTATGCGTTTTCATGTGAGTAACTAGGACAAGGAAGTTAGCCCAACCAGATATCAACAGTTCCCCAACTTCTCGCCTATCTCGCTCACCAAGTATAATATTATCTGTCCACCAGTTTCTTTTGTTGTTTCCTTCTCTTTTTTTCGTAGGAGGGTGGGGGGGGGGGGTAGCTCTATAAAGACTATAGGCTACCTTGCGTTACAATAATGTGATTACTTGACAATGTCTAGCCTAAATCTCTTTTAAAGGGGACAACCAAAATTTCTAAAAAACCATGATAGTTCATATTATAGTTGCAGGCTGTGTAAAATAATGGGTTTATGGTGTTTGAACGACCAGGCGATATACTTCGTTGTATTTCTTAAGATTCGAAAATTTCATTATTAGTTTCCCCGTTTTTTGATTCGAAATACTATATGTGTGGGTTGGGAATTGTAGTCTGTGTAAAATAATGGGTTTATGGTGTTCGAACGACCAGGTGATATACTTCCTTGAATTTCTTAAATGAAATGAAATGAATTGGGGTTTAACGCCCTACTGTTCTGCGCCTATGCTGGGCTAATGAAGACGGGCATACGCCATACAGTGGGCTATGAGGGAAATTTTTCCAGGGCAGCGGCACTATCGCCTACTCTTATATCGAATTCCAACTGTCCTTGTCAGGCCCTCCGTACTGCATCATTGACAAGGGGGAACCACACCGGAAAATCTGGATGAACTTTCTCGGCCAATGCAGGGATCGAACACCCGACCTCCAGGCTAGCGAGCCAGCGTCTTACCCACTAAGCCACGTGATCCCCCGAATTTCTTAAGATTCGAAAATTTCATTATTAGTTTCCCCATTTGTTGATTCGAAATACTTCATGTGTGGGTTGGGAATAATTGTCTCCGGCCCAAAGAAAGACCACTAACTTCGGAAAAAAGTGATAGTCTCATTTGTTTAGCCCTATGCTATTTTAGCCCAGAATTTGTCACTACTGTGCCTAATATAATCTGTAAAGATGATGCTTTTACATTTTTCATTTATTGATTTAATGAATAAAATTCCAGATGGTTCGTAGAAGGCCTTAATCTAAGCTATGCAAATTATTATTATTTGTTGTCTGCCGATCTTTCAAAATAGCCTACATTTTAAACGAGGGAGCTAAATATAGAAAAACTGGTCACCAAGTGAAATAGGGTTTAAAGGGACAATAACACTCTTGCTGGCTTGACAGCTCCAGAAAATAAAAATAGCCTTATTCTAAGTACTAGATGTTTAGTATCCTACCTGTTTTGTAAATTTTATTATCCATAAAATCCTATTTTACTTGTCCAGAGGGTTCAAAAATATTTTTAAATCCAAGTAACATTTGAAAAGCTTTTTGTCAGGCTTTTCAAATCATTCAGTTGAATTTTTCCAATTTTTTAAAATAGGTGTATTAAGATGAAATTTTTGTGTATCATCAATTAATTGGAATATTGGAAAATAGTACAATTTGTTGACCAGAATAAAGATTGGGACATATTATTCAGTTACAACAAGAGTGGTATTGAGCCTTTAACGTCATGTTTTTCTGCACCGACTGGGCTAATGAAGACGGGAATACGCTATGCATGCGAGGGAGATTTTGCCAGGCGCTTCGGTCTAATCTTATACTGAACTCCAACTGTCAATGTCACGTGTACACGCCAATGTGTACAAGAGACCTTGGTTTTTCGTCCCATCCGAACGATTCGATTCCTGCATTGATCGAGAAAGTTCATCTGGAATTTCCGATCTGGATCCCCCTTGTCGGTGGTGTACGACGGGGGACGAGCCCGGGACATCCAGGCTAGCGAGCCAGTGTCTTATCTTATACACTGAGCAAACGTGGCTCCCACCGACCGAAAGGGAGTAACAAGTGAGGAGATTGGAGACGCTCTGCATCAGATTTTTTTTTTTTTTTTAACCGTAGTGGCCTAAATCCTGGAAATGATCTAAATTACTACAATTGGTGGAAAGTGAACATAATGAATAACTATACATATACAATGCACATTCATATTAGCGGAATTACAATAATTATGCGAACGAACATAAAAAAAATTGATTCCGTAGTTTGTAGAAACATTGGAAGGGGGATAACTCTATTTAAGGTTCTTCATGTCGTAAATGTGACAGCGCAAATCTAATTATGTACCAGAAGTCGTGCTGTATCTATTTATGATTTGGAGATATTATATTAATATAATGTAATAGTATATGATGCCAATAAATAGTTTTATGTAAGTAATGATAGGGATCGAATCATTTTGAAGTCGTAATGGTAGTACGACTAATTTACGGTATAAGAGAGGTGACATTTTCCAAACATGGCTTCCGGAATTACAGAAAAAGCATTGAAATTAGTTCAAAGTTTACCTCGTCTTTCCTTGTCGAATATCAAAAATTTGCCCCACAGTATTAGAAAGGTATTGACGATTGTACGGAGTTAAAGATTTGTCGTGATCACAGCATACACATAACTGACTGACCGTGTTAAACAAGTTTTGAGAAAAGTCACAGAGCAAAGTCACAGACAAAGTGTCATTTCGACATTTAGTAATCATTTACTTTGCAGACACGATTTGGAAAAGTTCCCGTGATTAGCGTAGTCTTACAAAACGTTTCTTTTGCAAACTAGTTGTCAGTTACACACTTATCAAGGTTTTGGCCTAGTAACTTATACCTTTTCTGTTAAATGATCCTTGTAAAAAAAAAACTGACATTTAATGTCAAGCACAAGGGTAGCTGTCGAGACACAGTTACTGATGTCTTTCATTATGTTAGGCATAGGTCTACTTTGCATTAGGCATATTCTATGTTTTAATGATGTTTATAATTGCACGCCTATAATGCATGTCTTGCACACAAAAAAATATGTCAGACAAGATCTTAAACTTTAAAATACCACCTTCACGTCATGTCCAACAGTGGATTTTGTGAAGTATCTCATTGAATATTGAATACCATCAGGTCAGTGACATTTTCTTGTAGAGGCCTACATGTTTTATACAAAACTACAACTAATATGGGTTATTTCCAAGCCTGGTTCTTTATACATATCAAATATCAAATATCAAATGCTTTTTATAAGAATTCTATCATAACCTATATTTCAGACCAAAAGGAGGAGAAGAGATCGACAGCATGGTAAAACCCATGGTAGAGGTCATAAAGGTCAAGGACAACGAGCGACATTACCAAGGTTGGGTTTTGAAGGGAATAACACACCATTTTATCTTCAGATCCCAAAAGAACCATATTACAAAGACCATGAGTAAGTGAAATTTAGAAAGTTTGTACTGTTAACAGCCAAAAATCAATAGCATGTTCCACATTACACAAATGCCATTTAAACAAATTACACAAGTTGAATAAGTCAAGTGATGTGGTTTCAATCCCAAGCTTGTGCGTGACAAGGAGTAGGGTCACCTGCTCAACCGTGTGTGTTTTCTCAGGTCCCCCCCCCCCCCCACTTCACAAGCTTTTGTTTTGTTGTACTAAATCGTTTTATGAAAAGAGTATATTTTCTTTTTGCAGACTAAGGAAAGAATATGTACCTGTGTCGTTATTACAAATACAACGATTTGTAGATTTAGGAAGGTTAAATGTCAAAGAACCAATAGATTTATCATCTCTTTGTAATACAAGGCTGATTCAAGTGAAATGGGAACAGAAACAATTTGGTGTAGATCTACTTGATGAGGTAAATAGATGGGTATTTTAAATACCAGTACTTAAATTGGCATGTTTAACCTAACTTAGTTGTAAGAGAGTGAGAAAGAGAGAAGAGAGAGAGCACATGGTTCTATCTTTTTTCAATAATTCGCTTGCGCATAAGGGTCTTTAGCAGTGGGAGGAAATCAGGGAACCCAGAGGAAATACACAAGGTTGGACAGACGACTCTACTCCCTGTCACATACAACCATGGAATCGAAACCATGCCAGTTGACTCATTCACAGACCTTATGATACAGCGAGCATGTGCTAACCATTCGGCCATCCAATCCCCCAGTTATAAAGGATCTAATGTTATCTTAAATTTGAGATAACAACTGTACATATTTTGAGATTTAACTGGATCTCAGGCCTCATTAAAACGGATACGGTTGAATCTTTTAATTGTTCAAGCAAACATTGTTCAGGAATATGTGTTTGACAAATTGGTGCCAATTATTCACCAAATTTAAATTAGATCCAAATAATCCTCTATATGTGGTCTCCTCGGTATTTCCACCACCTCTTCTTTGGATTCAAACTACCAAAGGTTTTTTTACAAGTACGACAATGTGTACCGTACACAGTATATTTGTCCCAATCAAATAACTAAACATTTTTTTCTTGCCATGCCCTCCCTCCCCCCAACACCACTGACATTGGGAAACCACTAGGTGGAATGGCTAATTAAATCATGCATTTACCAATTCTTCTGTTAATCATTCTCTCTGTTATGGATAGTTAATGGAATACTTATATTTCATGTATATTTTATAGGGTGCCGATATATTCTGTGCCAGATTGAACATAGAGGTACAGAAAGCAAGCGAGTTGACAATAGCAGCCATAGAAAAAAATGGTGGAGTAATAACAACAAGATATTATGATCCCCACAGTTTACATGCCGTTGTTAATCCAGCTAAATTCTTCGCCAAGGGAGTACCCATACCTAGGTGTAAGCTACCACCACAAAATGAAATAGCTTATTACTCTGATGCTAAGAACCGAGGATATTTAGCTGACCCAGAAAAAATACTGCATGCTAGAGTAGAATTGGCTCAGAAATATGGCTACGCATTGTTTGAATATGAAAATGAAGAAGAAAAAGAGATGTTATTGACCAGGAAAGATCCGCGACAAATATTCTTGGGACTAGCACCTGGATGGGTGGTTAATTTAAAAGACAAAGTTATTCTAAAACCTAAAGATCCTGAATTTGTGAAATACTATAAGTCCTAGTCCAGTATTACTCTATAGTATTTTTATAGTGCTATTATTATGAAAGGTTAATTTGTAGGTTATGTGTGTACCAAGTCATAATAAATTTATAAGGGAAATGTGTTTTGCCAATTATAGAAAATTATTCATGGTCATTGTAATTTGAATTATGCATTTCTGGTATGTAAGGTAAAATATAGTACAGAGAAAAGAACAGGTAGTCATCTTGTAAATCAGCTATACCCCAAAACCAATAAAATTATGATCAGGGTTGATAAGTCAGATTGTAATAGATGTTAATTTTCCACTATCAATATATTCCAGATATTTTGGGTAAATTCATAATAATGACTTAATTATCATGTACATGGGTTGATGCTAATCCAGCTATCTGTTGGGCTGAATAAATTAAGAAAGAAAATAGCCTAAATAATAAGTTTAAATAATGCAATCAGACTGGTTACTTGAATACTGGTATGGCAAACTACCTATGATTGAAATGGTATTTTGTTCACCCGAAGAAATCGGCTGAACATAATTTAAGGAAGGCTTTGCCATATTTATAATTTATTTAAAGTATGTGCATTATCACACAATGGAAGTGGCATGGTTTTGATTCCCACTTGACCGTGACAAACAAGGAGTAGAGTCGTCTGTCCAGCCTAATGGGTTTTCTCCGGGTCCTCTGGTTTCATCCCACTACTAAAGACCCCTATGCGCAAGCGAGTTATTGAAATAAAAGTGAAACATGTTAGTCCAGATATGACCTAGTTTTGCTCCGTCTCTGGTAGGGAGCGCTCATCCTAACGCACGTCTGAAAAAAGTTATAGACGGCTGAAGACACAAGAGTTGACATTAAAGATTTGGTGGTCTACATCCAACAAGTGGAAGTTCTGATATGGATTTACCTCCCTTGTGTATTTTCTGGGCGACTTTCGGATGTAGACTATGGTTGCGACTACAGCCTGAACTATCTCAACCGTGCTGTATCGTATGATATGTGTGGTCACGACCACAGGTTGAACTATATAGTACGAAAATCCGTGCAACCGATGGTCCTGTGTTACTGGTGGATTTCAACGTTTAAATCCAATAAATGATTATAATTTTTTTTATTTTAAATGCCACCTAGTTTGGATGTTTTAAAAAGTAGCGTATCGTTTAAAGAAGTAAATTTAGGGAACCTGGATTTTGTTGTTTATTACTTCTTCGTGTTTGCAGCACAAGGTCACCAAGAGGAAATTTATCACACCAGCTGACTAATTAGCCATTTTATTTCATGAGCTAAGCTATTTTTCTTGCAGCAATTTAGAACCGGGAATCACTCAATTTTACACTTTAATACGTCCCCCCTTCTGGAACTCCACACCGTTTGCCGTATACCTTGTGATCACCATATAGCCCACAGCCTTAAAAGGATTTGTTTATTTCTTTTCAATTTGGGGTGTGTGTGCCCCGAATCCCATGACATCAGTTGGATAGCCGAATGGTTAGCGCGTGTGCGTTGTATCATAAGGTCTATCACTGGACGTGATTTCAAGTCCCCGGTTGTAGATCAACCAGCATGCAGACAGACAGGAAAAATATAAAAATTCCGCGAAAAGCTCACCAAAAGTAATGATTAAATTCCAGTCTTTGCCATGGTTAAAATCACACCAAATATACACATTCGTGTTCTAGGATACATATAGATTCATAAAAACGCTACGGCACAACATTTCAGCGTCTAAAAGTAGCAAAAAAGACGACGATGTCATACGGACCTTTTCCGTATGAAAGATGTTCGATACGTGCTGTCGTATCCGTGTATCGTATCACGTATGAGAAATACACACGCATTGATGACGTCACACACAAAATCAATACGGATACGCGATACGGACCACTGATTTAAGTTTGCCAAAAGTCTCTAATATCTCAACCAACCATGCAGCCGAAACATATTCGTTGTGTTTAATTACGTCACGATTCTACTCACACCACCCCCGTTGTCGGGACTGACAGAACTGTGACAGGACTGAATTCCGCGTTACTCGATTGCAATTCTGTCAATTCGGGACGTTCTGGACTTTGAATCGAGCACCCCCCTGGTTGTGCGTGACAAGGACTAGGGTCGCATGTCCAATTTCATGGGTTTTCTCTGGGTCCTCCGGTTTCCACCCACTGATACAGACCCCTACGCGCAACCGAATTATTGAAATAAAATTGAACCATATGTTAGTTCTGAAATGCCCTAGTTTTTGTCGAGTGGACGTTAAACTCCATTTCTCTCTCTGCTCCAAACGGGCTTATGAAGACAGGCATACGCCACACAGCGCGCTATAAGGGACATTTTTCCTGACCGCGGCACTACGAGATCCATTTGCCAAGGGTTATTTGACGGGAACGCCAATGTGTACACACGACCTCGGGTTTGCATCCCATCCGAACGACTATACGCGTGTGAAAGAGGAGGAGCTCTTTTGATTTTCAGATTTGTGTGAAGCATTGGGATCGGAGAGGATGATTTTCAGCATTCTGTTCCAGGCTTGTGAACAGCTAAGCCGTGGGATGTGATCAGTTACCACTGTAATTCCCGTCGGAGCAACAGTAGGACGTTAAACCCCTTCGTTTTATTTCATTTCACCACTGTTATAATGACATGTCTATATTGGGTGAATGTTTGCTGCCTGCACTGCACGAGCAAACCTGAGACTGAACGTTTCTCATTCTCTGTTGTGATAAGAGCGAAATGGGCTCAACAACAGGTTAGCAATTAAGGGCAAGGTAAAGTGACAAAATTTGTCACAACACCTGAAATGGGGGGGGGGGTCCTCAAAATATCATTCATAATACCCTTAGTGCCTGTATTTTGGTATCTAAATGTGCTTGAGATCACACCAAACAATAAAAAATGGTTGAAAATCAAAAATAGACTTTTGGACACAACATGGGAAATCACAAAATCTCACACAGATGCCTGAATATATACACTACAACCATCAAGACTTCAAATTTTGAAAACAATCTTTGTTTCAGCACAATAAGTCCATATAGTCAAGGGACTGCTTTCAGACTTTTTTGTATGGAGTACCACCATAACCGCGATTGGGCAAGAAAGTGATAAAATTTAGATGTTCGTTTTCACGATAACACGGGGGTGTACGATTTAAAGGTGTATTGACAGTCAAATAGTGTATTGTGAGTAATATAGTATATTTTGGGCTTTTTATACAAGGGCCACTATTCTGTGTTCGAAAATAATATGTTCAGCCTTGTTGGTGTCGAGAATAGTTTGCAACAAGATGGTGTCACTTTACCTTGCCCTTAAAGCACAAATATTTGCGGTGGTGAATCACCCTACCACGGTAATTACGGCCATGAATAATTGATATATTAATTACCGAAAGGTCAACAATCATTATAGTATTTAATCTCTCCGTGCAGCACTTGCACCCCTGTAGATGATGTCGGATGTTGACAAATTCTCAATTTATCGTGTCTAAATACTGAATGGAATTGAACCATTTTTGGATCGATATTCCACGGCCAGTTTTTAGGGGGATATCTTTCACAATATTGTAATTTGCTAGATATTCATCATTACACTTAGTGACTTCAAGTAGATAGTATAATATTGTAATTTGCAAGATATTCCTCAATTACACTTAGTGACTTCAAGTAGATATTATAATATTGTAATTAATGTAATAATGTATCTTAAAGGCTCAATACCACTCTTGTTGTAACTGAATAATATGTCCCAATCTTTATTCTGGTCAACAAATTGTACTATTTTACAATATTCCAATTAATTGATGATACAAATTTCATCTTAACACACCTAAATTAAAAAATTGGAAAAATTCAACTAAATGATTTGAAAAGCTTGACGTAAAGCTGTTCAAATGTGACTTGGATTTAAAAATATTTTTGAACCCTCTGGACAAGTAAAATAGGATTTAATGGATAATTTACACAACAGGTAAGACACTAACACATCTAGTACTTAGAATAAGACTATTTTTTATTTTCTGGAGCAGTCAAGCCAGCAAGAGTGTTATTGTCCCTTTAATTATTTGAAATTTCAAAATATGAAGACCGCTGATCGCCAATAGGCCTATGCAAATTTGAATATTGATCAAAATGATTATTTAACATGTAGAAACTGGGTGATTTGATGATATTTATTATTTGAACTAAAAACATAATATTCAAACTAATTAATCTATCAAATATTTGCTTCAAATCCCTCTAAAAATATTGTATTCGCGAGGAAATATTCCAAGTTATAAAAAAATCTATTCAAAGAAGTCATGTTTGTGTCACGTGACTTTGCGGTCGTGGTTGTGTCACGTTGTTTTTAATCGCTGTCCATTTATCATAAATATCGGAGTCTAAGTAAATTCTCGGATTATCCCGCCCCACGTCTTTTTTCCTCGGTTTTTATCTCAAACACTGTTGTACGTTTAAGTTTTTCACATTTTCCACGTCCGCTAACCATCAAGTTTATTAATATATACATTAAGCTCTCCTTAATGCAAGCGGCCCGACAATCTACGCGTGCAGCCTTTGACTCCACTCGAGCACATAGCCCTAATCATCGGGCTGTCAATTAGTGACACCCTCTTATCTTTGTCCTGTGCGCACTCCATGTGTGTTTTTCAGGAAATCCAGTATTTTTTTGTAAGATTTAATTTCTCTACTTCCCATATATACCAAAATCGCCATACTTGTATTGGGAATAATTGGAAATATCCACCCGATAAATACTTTTGTGGGAATGTATCTTTAAATAAATTATGTGGGGGGAGGAAGGGGGTCGGGCATTTGAAGACATTAGAATGAAATGAGATTTTGTTGTATGTGATTGGGTGAGAGTATGGGATGGATCTTTGACTATGGACGATTTGATTTGTATAATGGTCCAATTTCTGCCAAATAGTAGGACGAGAGCGCGCCCATAAACTGATATTCCTGTATTGCCAAACGAAATGTGCCATATCGTTTACGGTTAGTCTAACTTCCAAGCCACAAGCTATAAACCGAGCCTCGACCATTTTGTCTCTTTAAAAATCACAAATCCAACAATTTCCTCACAGCTTTTATAAGACTGTTATAAAATAGCAATACGAAAAGAAACGCTAATTTGAAGGAGTGTTATTCTGAAATAGTCCCTAAGCTCGTTAGCACCGAAGACAATTTTCGTAAATACGGATTTGAAGTGTTTTGTTAATATCTAAACATCGATCGACTACACAAAACCGGACAATTTATTTTGGGTTTTACTGATTGGCATATCACCTACATGTAATTAGAATCGAGAATTTCCATTTTAAGCTACAATAAATTCGGTTCAATTGTAAAGGGACAACCTGCCAGAATAAACAACATATATTTTCCTAATCATAAAATCATAGTCATAATCAAAACCTGCCTTACCATAAAACATAGTCAAAACATATTCATATCGATCAGTTCATTGAAGTGGCCAACTGAAGTTTACATTAATTTGTATTGATTGCATGCCGCCACGTGGATGTCCTTTTGTAATATATACTCTTCAAGAAAGTAGGGGGTATTGAAATGCAAAAAACAATGCAGGTTGCGATATGATAAATAATCATGGACATTTGACATTCTTTGAAAGTATGTTCACAGATGAAGAACTTATCGCCCCAACAGAACCACTGAGCTGCACATGCGACACGCAATAGCGCCATACACGTGTGTGTGTGGGTGTGTGTGGGGGGGAGGGGTGGTAATGTCCGCTGGACACAAACCGGAGGACCCGAAGGAAACCCTCGAGGTTGGACAGGTGACCCTAGTCGTTGTCACGTACAACCGGGAAATCCAAATTACGCCAGTTGATTCAATGACAGACCTTATGATACAGCGTGCACTTGCTAACCAAATACGGCCATCCAACCTCTGCTAGTCTCGAAATGACGTAGCTTGTGTTAAGTGGACGTTAAACTAAACTCTCTCTCTCTCCCCCCCCCCCTCTCTCTTGTAATTGTTATCGAGAGATACGAGACTTTATGCAGACAATAAATCAAGTGAGAGAGAAATGGGGTTTAACGTCTACTCGACACAAACTAGGTCATTTCGGGACTAACATGTGGTTCAATTTTATTTTAATAATTCGCTTGCGCGTACGGGTCTTTAGCAGTGGGAGGAACCGGAGAAAACCCACGAGGTTGGACAGGCGACCCTACTCCTTGTCACGTACAACCGGGGAATCGAAACCACACCAGTTGAATCAATGACAGACCTTATGATACAGTCCGCACGTGTTAACCATTCGGCCACCCCCCACAATAAATCAAGGTATCGGAAACGTATTGTACATGTATACAGAACCGGCTTGTAGGGCTGGGGTGCATTTTTCAAGCAGACGTTTCGCAAACGGCTTAACATTAGGTCTAATGCAAATTTAATGTCTTCCGTCTTGCTCCAGCCACAATAGAGGACCGTCCTAAGGCCTTCCTTCGAGCAAGTTTTGTAGTCAATTGACCACAAAAAAGTTACTGGCCTATAACTCCATTAATTTCCAACAACACTGACCCTAAACTGTACTGTGCATAGCTTAACATATAATAAACCAATTCCCATTGAAATAAAGATTAAACCTGCTATGCGAAATTTCTGTTCAGTTTAAAATGGCCGCGGAACCAGAATCACGAGGCGTTATGTGTTGACAATTTTGCAATTGAACCTAATTTTACTTGCTCAAAGCCTCGAATAGTGTATCAATTGCAGCCGTAATTAAGAATTATCACGGCTAAAAATCGCTGCTAGTAACCGACCAGATGTTATACTCAGTCAATCTGTCTGTCTCTATCAATACGTCGAATAAACCAATGCTGGCGATTGATCGACGGTCGAGAGTTGATTCCACTCAACGGCTGTTCTAGTGAAAAAGAGTTGCTGTGGATTTCTGTTTGACTGTTTAACTTATAATTATTAACAATGTTTGTACACTTATACCCAGAAATTTTTTTCGTGGGGTTAATAAGGCGTTTGTTCCGGGTTGGATTGAGGTGATGGTGAAAAGAAATGGCTCGATCCAGCCCCCACCAACCTTAAAGTCCTTGCTTTTTCTTAAAGAGACGGGAGTTCTGCTTCACCCTGGTTATACATCCAGTGTCTCTAGATTTTTAATCCCGTTATGATGAAGCGGGTTGCTCTTGTCTGAATGCGTCCCATCTTGCCAAACTCTCCTGGATAATACAGGTCCGAAATGATTGCTCGATATTCTAACGTTGACAGAATTTTGCGAGTGGCTCTCGGACAGTTATATAGGTTCCTGCAAATGCACCCAGTGTGGAGCTTGCTTTCTTACAAATATTACTGATGTGTTTTGAGCAACTGAAATCTAATGATATATCCAAGCCTATAGTAGGGGTTGTTCAAAACAGATTTCATGACTGCCTCGATAAGAGTGTAGAATCAACTCCTCTTGTTGTACGAAATTGTTTAGACATGGTGTGTATGTTAATGTTGTTTTGAAAAGACAGAGATTCAACGAAAAGAAGATCGGTCTCCACATTTTTAAGAGAAACTTTCAATTCCCAAAATTTGCAGTACACATGGAAATACAGAAAATTGAACGCGGACCTTAAACACGCTTAGCATAGTCTGTAACGGTATTGTGACCATCTCTCGTGTTAGCTGATTTTGTTTATTCCAACTGACAAGGGCTCTTTTACGTGCAATACCAATTTGTACACAAACAAGATTAAGGACGATTATTGTTTGCAGCCACCTAACAAGTTGGATCGAGACACATTCGAAATTCAGATCGCCAAGTTATAATGTTGGATACTGAATTTCAGTATGGATTTTCTTCAATCTTATAAGTACATTATTCATTACAAATTTTCAACAAAAAAATGCTCGTAGAATGCCGATTCCGAGCATTTGACAGTAGCCCATACGTCAAAGGACACATGTGGCGTGTGTGCCTATACTAAATATCAGGTAATACAAACCCAGGATTTATTGAGTAGATGACGTTAAGTCAACAGACGTTTGATAAAGGGTATTCTTGGACGTCCTTGAAGTCAAAGGAAATCAACATTTTCTTCTCTGAGAATTGATATATGACAGTTTTACGTGGCAATTCCATAAGGAAAAATAGACAATTATTCTGAAGATTGTTGATGAGAGGCAATTTACTTCCCTTTTACAATAACAAAGGAATTGTTGAGTATTGTATTGTCTATTTGTTTTGGGGGATACCAATCCGTCGACGCCTAGAGAGATCAGTTTTAAGAAAGCCGAATTTGGTTTTCCACATGAACATGTGGATAAATTTAGTCTCTGTAGTAGTTAAACTTGTCATTGTTATTACAATAGCTGCGTATCGATTAAAGTGCCACAGTAATAATTTGTTCCGAACACATTTTCTTTAAGGGCGATTCGTACCTTTGAAGGCCCCTATGTGACCATATTCCTGAAGCAATGGCCCGAGAAATCCCTCTCCGGCCATTGCTGGATTGGCTTCTGTTTTGAGCGAGTGTGTCTATTCTTGCCGTTTAATCAAATCTATGACAGCCCATCGTTTAATTTGGGGTCTTTGGACAGTGATTTAAGGTATTAAAAACAGTGAAAGTATTGTTTAGATTGTATTGTTTACATTGTATCCGTGATGATAACCTCGTTTGTCACGCTATTTGTTTTTCTGCAATATTCTGCTAATGCTATGCACTGGTTAATTGGGCATAATAAAATCGTGAGTTATGACGTAACGTTATGTAAACATATTTGGTCCAATTTGGAGCTCGGTTTAAAGCCTAATGATATTGTTACGCAGTTAGCTATTGGTTGTTAATCGGACTATTGACCAGTCATAATTTGGAACAGAAATTTGCTTCCTTTACAGCACTGTTAAGTGGGATTAGCTCTAATCAAACGAAACACTGCGAGGAGTATGCTATGTGACATAAAAGATGCAGCAGCGGTTCCGATAACAAGTCAAATTATTGGTTAAAGAATTTTATTTCCTAAAGCAAATTTAGTATTTATCAATAAAGCGATGGACTAGGTTTTAAAACGGCGAACTAAATATGATTGAGAATATTACCTAACACCATAGTCTAACCGACACTGCCGGGAATACTGCTTCCACCATTTTTTAAAAATATTATTATAAACGCAACAAACAAATATTTAATTAATTATATAATTCTTCTTTCATACTAAGCATTCTTTCTTGGCGGCTTCTGGGAACACTATAAATCCCATGGTATATCCTTGTAGTTCTAATGGTCCTTCATGATATACAGGATTAAAGGAAGGTAATTCCCCCTTGTTAGGTAACACCAGTATTTTTCCATTGAGGTTTACAAACCTACAAATATAAGAGATTTACACCATTTAATTATTGGGACAGGGGCTGTATTCAAGAAAACTCAAATTACACTATTTAAAGAATTTCGTATTTTCATTAAAAGTTGTGCTATGGTATTAGTGCTGAACCAATGAGCAATCGGTATTCTTAAAATATCTTAGTTCAAGTTTTCATGAATAAGGCCCCGGGAGAAATGAAATGAAATGGGGTTTAACGTGCTACTATTCTGCTCCTAATCTGTGCTAATGAAGACGGGCATACGCTATACCGTGTGCTATGAGGGAAATTTTGCCCGGGCAGCGGCGCTACGGCTTACTCTTATATGGAATTCCAACTGCCAAGGGACCTCGGTTTTACGTCCCATCCGAACGACTAGACAGCTGTCCTTGTCAGGCCCTCCGTCCTGCATGGCCCCGGGAGAACTTATCCAATGGGCAGACCGTGTGAAATAGGAATACACAACTTTATTATCGTTGTGACAAATAGTATCCTGTGTTCTGTGAAGAGTGCACTATCCGCGCAATATTGCTATCCTTGTGCTGAAGAGTGAAATTCAGGAAGTGCGTATTCTATGCCAATGCATTCAGTTCTTTCATCTTTAAAAAAGGGCGACTCGCAATTATATTTCTTTTGAAGCTGTAATTTGTTATCTAAAGAGTATATCTAAAGAGTAAGACCACGAATGGAAAAATGCAGGTAACTAAATTTTACGACTTTCTGCGCGTGACCTCTTTAATATGTTTTTGAAATGTAGGGTTTGATTAGAAAGAGATACAACCAGTCAAGTTGAATGGACTGAAAACGAGGTCCAATTTGCGAACGACCATTGAAATTTCCACCAAATTGCCTTACTGCAATGATCCGCCGCGATTAATGAGCTTCGAAAATTGATTCACTTGAAGATAAAAGAAAAGATAATGACGCAATATCTGCTAACCTACATACCTGACATTAAAAAAAAACATTCCCGATATGTATTAGATTAAAGCGATAGTAGCATATTTTCTAAGAAAGTCAAAACATAACTATTTCTATATTTATTGCTTAGTAGGTTGTCAAATCACTATTATACAATCCTAGGAATCATTGTCACAATTGAATTAATATAATAACAGCGGCAATAATAGCTCCCTTGTTTTCTATACGCTCAATGGAATTTAATTAGCAAAGCTCAGCGTTGATGTTTCAACTTAAAAACGATATAATTGCTCAATTGTCAATAGGGAACTACAAGCTTACTATAATTATTTTTAAACAAGGTAGGACTGTGTATATATGTGTTAGCAGGCTTTATTTAACATATTTTGTGGCAAAGTGGGTAAAACGCTGGCTCGCTAGCCTGGAGGTCGCGGGTTCGCTCCCGTTGTTGGCCAAGAAAGTTCATCGGGGTTTTACAGCGTGATTTCACCTTGCCAGTGATGCAGGACAGTTGTCTAGTCATTCGGATGGAACGAAAAACCGAGGTCCCGTGTACACAGTGGCGTGGACGTTAAAGATCCCCTGGCAGTTGTAACTCGATATAAGAGTAGGCCGTAGCGCGGCTAAATTTCCCTCATAGCACACTGTAGGCGTATGCCCGTCTTCATTAGCCCAGTCGGAGCAGAACAGAAGGACGTTAAAGCCCATTTCATTTCATTTTTAACATATTTTAAACATGTGACTTAAAAATGCAACTATCGCTTTAAAGATTAGTTGAGTTTTGAGAGTCCTAATGTCCTACTTACTTAGATACAAGACCACTTTCATCACCGGGAGTTAACATATATAATTGACCCTTGCCTCCATTCATATTAACAGTTACCGCTTCACTCCCTAAATTCATTAAGTATACGGTAACACTGCCTTTTTGATAACCCATGGAGCTGAAAAGGCATATTTATAATTTATACATAATGACATATAACTACAGAATAATGCGTCTTCGAATAATAAAAAAAGATTTAGATCAGATGGTTTCATATTCTTCTTAATGTCAACCAAAGACCAAATGGCCGATTTGACGTCCGTGAAATCGGCAACGCTCTCGTTTTTATAACAATGCAGCTGGAAAACATATTTATTATTTCTATATAATGACATGATACTTCAGAACAATGCGTTTTCGAATGATTAAAAAAGAATTGAGATGAGACAAGACGAGGCGGTCTCATCATATTTCGTCAAGTCATTTGGCTTATCGACCAAACGTCCCCGATGACGTCTGTGAAATCGGCAACCCTCTATTTTTGAATGACTTGTAACTTCAGTATAATGCGTCTTGGAATAATATAAAAAGAATTAGCTGAGATGGCTTCATTTGTCTTCAAGCCACCTGACCTAACGACCAACGAACCGATGTGATGCCCGTAAAATCGAGGTAGACCATTGTTAATTTTGATAAATTCGTTGACAAATGTCTTAATTAAGACTGGTTAAATGTGTTCAGCTCAATGATTATAACTTATATCGAAAAAATACAATACGACAAAATCCTTTTCTTTTGTCGCTTAAATTTTTATTATTCCTCTTTGGACGCAGTGTTAAAATGAATTATTTCCTAGTATTCAGTAACATTAGTGAAACGATTTTTTTTATTAGTTTTTGGATAGTACCTTCTTGAAGAGTACCTTTGGTTTTGTATCGATTGAAGCGTTATATTAACTTTTATTCGGGGTTGTTGTCTCTATAAAACATCGACTCAACGTCAATATTTTCACACAAATCAGCACAATTCCTCATATGTTACCTGTTGGTGTTGGTACAATGAGCATAAACTCTCACATTAGGATCTGTATCTTGTGTTACGTTCAATACTGGACTACCAACCAATCTTTTATATAAAACTGTTAAAAAATAGTCCTGTAAAGTATACATAATAGACGATACAAGTTATGTTAACTATTTCTTGATACCCATTCAACAAATTCGGTTACTTTATGGATTCATTTTTCATTTTAGTCAATTGTCTTTCCGTCATTACTGATGCTGATACATGTATATTTCTTTCAAAACCAAAAATCATTCATTAAACATCGTTTAACATTGACAAAAGATAATATCCTTGATAAAGATACCTGTAAGAGTATTGAAACGTTGCATGTAATAAACCAAGAAGTAGTAAATCCATAAATTTGTGTTATTATGAATATTGACAAAAGATATACAACTCTTTAAATGACATCTAGACGTACGGTTATGTATATTGCCCTTGTTTTCGGCTTGCCTCGAAACATTGGCCTGGGCCGATTGCTCAAAACTAAGTTATTTTAACGATCCATTAACGGATCGTTATCATGCTAACGTGTCGTTTGTTACCGTTCCGTTCAATTTCTGTTGCTGGAAAGTCAATTTTATTATCCGTTACCTAACGGACTGATTAAAGTTAATCCAAGAGAAGACTGTTTGTTCATTGGCTGAATTTTAAATTTTTTAATTCAATGTACATAGAAAACAATTTCGTAGAAGTTAGTATTAACAAGAAACTGATGACAGTAGGACAACTGTGCAGTCTGTTCACAAAACTTGATTAAAGACAAAAAGATAACTGAAGAATGTACTACAGAAAACACTATAAAAAAACTATAGAATACTTTATTTTTTCCTTTAGAAATTTTAGCATAAATCTGTAGGAACAATTATGGGATTTGCACTACAGAAACTGTAGAATATTTGGGGCCATATTTTCCTACAGGCCCCAAAATTCTGAAGAATACTATAGACATTCATCCTATAGAAAATGGAATAGCCCCATAACAATAAGATTAAAATCTACTACCACAATCCCAGCTGAGTAAAAGTAACCAAACATGCGTGGTTAACGTTTATAAGAATAGATTAAACCATAATCAAAGAAAATATAGATAAAATGAAATTAAAAGCTTACGGGATTGGGATCAAGATTAACATCTATTAACCCATAATTACCACCATAGAAACTCTGTCTTACTACTCCTTGAAGACCAATTAAAGCTGACAGACCTAATTTATCCAACCATCTATCATAAACAATATTATAACTTACATACATTTGAATTAAGAAGTTGACAACATAATGTAGAAAAAAAGAAAAGATAGATGGTCCACCACCAGGAAAATTGTACGTGCCAGCTCAGACGGAAATCGCTGTCAATAAATCCCGCAGGCCAATTTCTAAATCATTTGAACGATATGGTTATTACTTAGCCCCAACAAATTCTATGGAGTTTTTGTTGAGAAGTCTGTCCTGTAATCTCATTCACAAATGTTCAGACATTTGAACGCGATTCTGGATTTCAATAGGGATCTTCGTTATGATCCAGTTCAGCAAAAAATATATTAAGTTGACAACCATATAGATGGATGTATATAAATCACCTTACGGACAAGGAAACCGTATATATGTTTACCATCGTGCAAATTTAACTTTGTTAAGACGCCAAGCATGGATGTAAAAAGGCAGCTTTTAATTGCAGATCGAACTAACAAAATTGTGCTGTTTTCTTAATTTGCAATTTAACAAAGGCAGATGGCAGTTTACCAAAGTTCATGTAACGTAAATTTAGGTGAGATAAAAAGAAGAGTCTTTTACGTGCATCATTTGTGCCATCGAGAAACATACCATGCGCGATTTTAAACTCCGGTTTTGGTTTCAAATTCAAACAAGAAATTAATTATTAGATTCAAAGTCTTACAAAAATCCGGCAACAAATCTGTCAGAAACCCCCAAGGTTCCTCCACCATACGAAGTTGAAGTTTCGCCTAGCCAGCATTGTTTACCCGGTGCATGTTTAAGACAGTAACCAACCGCTTCTTCAAGTGGGCTTTTCAAGGAATCAAAGACCTTAACATCTAAAAATTGGTCAACCGTTGCTGTAGCACTGTTCAGATAGTAACTGCAATATAATATATATTATTAGTGATATGTCAGACTTACCCGCATTGTCCTATTTAGCTGGATTTTTTGATCGCTATTGGTTTAAGACTATACAGTATTCGGGCAACCGAATGAATTTTTTTGTATACGATGAGAAATACAACGGAATATTTTGAAGCAATCGTTATAATTGCCTGACTGATGTGCTCAAAATATAGTATATATTTACAATTTTCAAAACAGCTCTGTTTATACATAAGTCAAATTATGCATTACAATAACCGGCTTATTTCTGTTAGAGATGGGTATATTCGACTTAGTTGTCGAGGCAATCGCATTCACCTGATGAACAGTTAAAGCCCCCGTGGACAACTGGAACGTTAATTGTGTGGTTTCTTTAAACTATAAAGTTACCACTTTTTTATTGACTTGCCAGACAAATAACAAAGTTCTCGTAATTGCGTATAATATAAGGATAATACTTACTGGTGAAATGTGGCTACATCAACATTTTTACCACCACCAGCTATTAAAAAGCTGAAGAGAAATAATGAAGATAAATACCAATATATCTGATCGAGCTTATATATTACCACACTTTCAAAATTACGAATTCTGTTATTCAAGCAATAACCTATTTTACTGTAAATCTGATATATTTAATATTTAACCGGGATTGAGAGAAGTGTTTCAGGGCACAACAATTGTACACAAAATTATTTCGCCTTTCTTTTTCCTGAAGGTATTGTTACAATGAAAATCGTTTCATAATTCTGCAGCAATTGATTTTCTACTGCTTAACAAAACCAATTAGAAGTTTGCTCGACGACATAATATATATATCTGACACTAACAATTATTAAAGGGCCATTATGTAAGATTAGATAAGGGCTGACAGTTCTCGCTATAACAGTTACATAATAGATAATAAAAATGGAATATGTTGACAATTTCAGTCAAATTACTTCAGTCTTAGCTGAGTTATCGCTGTTAGAAAAACAGTGTAGCCTCGATTATCATTCCTACCGTTGTTAAGATGATAAATAAAGTCTCAATTTTCCATTTTGAAATTAAATCATTAAATGACCTAACCGTTCTAATCTACTTAAAATCGGACTCTCCCCATGACACCGAGAGTTGATTATGGTCTTTTCATGTTAATTAATGTCTAATTAATAATTTATATCACAGTTAATGCTTAAAGAAAGACCTGCAATAGGCAGTTTTAGCTCTTGCATAATGTATGTTTAAGCAAATATAGGTCAACACATTGATTTTAATTGTATGAAATAAATCATAATGTGGTTTCTAGTCTTTGCGTGGACCATTGTTGGTAGCTTAGGCCCTAGAAGTTCAATCTTATAACACACGTCGTTCAGTTATAAATGTGAAATTTAAACAAAAGGTAAAAAATGTGTCAAGCCAACTAAACGCCATTACCCCTCACTGTGAATGCTTTCAGGTGTTCGATCCCTGCCTTGGCAGAGAACGTTCATCCAGATTTTCCGGTGTGGTTCTCCCTTGTCAGTGATGCAGGACGGAGGGCCTGACAAGGACAGCTGTCTAGTCGGTCGGGTGGGACGAAAAACCAAGTCCCGCTTACACATTGGTGTGCACGTAAAAGATCCCATGACAGTTGGAATTCGATATAAGAGTAGGCCGTAGTGCCACTGTTCGGGCAAAATTTTCCTCATAGCACACTGTATGGCGTATGCCCGTCTTCATTGGCCCAGTTCGGAGCAGAACAGTAGGACGTTAAACACCATTTCATTTCATTTCATTTACTAACATTTCATTCGTTCCTAGCAATTCCTAGACATAAAATCTGATTACTATGTACTATTTAATCATGAAATATTCAGACGATATAACGTTAGTTATTTTTTTTATTAATATCCTATTATCTCACCTCCAGCTTGCAAGGTAAATATTTTATTAGTTTCTAACAATTTTTGTGTTCTGGAGAAACTGAATACGAAATCCGGTATTCGGATGGGTGGAATATTCAAGGTCACTTGTACACATGTGTACATTAAATACCCATTTTAATAATAATTACACGGTAAACGATTTTTGTTTCTTTTATTTTAATAGATTACCTATTAAATCGTAAATTAGAGCACTGTGCATTTTAGTTAAATACAAATATGCCTTAATACCATGTGCACGTTTTCTTTTATAATAAATTTATTGGAATATAAGCTGGTGCTATAACACTTTTACAGCATAGAAACCAATTTAATCGCATTCAAAGAATCGCAGGCTTTGGTGGTTCATCTAGATATCACGATGTTTCGAAAATATCCCCAACAGAACTAGTAATGGTATCCCAGTAAAAATGTGGTTTCTTTTTCACAATACAGTTAACTTATTTTATCGTTGGGTCTCTTAAACACATAGCTGATAACTAAACTGTGATACAGAATGTTTGCTAAAGAATTTTGGGGCTGGTAAAGAAGTAAACTAGGCCTAGGTAGAGGGAGGTTTCTGCCTTGCCATTATATTACTTCCCCCTGCAACAATAAGTCATACGTTATATTTATATTGTAATAGCATGTTACTTACTCTTCGAAATAGTTCTGATAATATACAGATGATGTGTCTGGTCCAAAAACAAGAAATGGTGTGGATGTCATTGATGTTAAAACACCACGTAACGTTCCTACATCAGCAGCTAGACTAGCAGGGGTAACAGACGTATTAATAGTTACAAACAAGTCGGGTTCTGAAACAATAATTTGATAGAGCTTTGTGAAATGAACTAGGATTCTTGAATTATTCTTTCTCTTAAAAGACAAACGCAATGTTTAATAGATATGAAATAATTTAATGCAGCCCTGGGTTAACCTTTAAGAGAAAAGTTTTCGCGTGCATTGCGCATAAATGAAACTGACATCACCAGTGTCGGATTTACCTGCGCCGGATTTGTCTGATAAAGGTAACCCATCCCCATGCACTAGTGTTTATTTGAAATTCGAATGCCCAAGCTATTAATTATTCTCCACCCATTGGGATAATCCATTTCTTACCCTGTTTTCGCATAAATCTTAATGTTCAGAATTTCATCCAGCTTTTAAAAAATATTCTTTTGTTTGTGTACATAACGTCCATTTCTCAATGTCTTTCTGAAAAAATGTATATCTTCCAGGCATTCTTATTCCATTATTATTGATCCCATAATACGCCTCTAGAGAAAAGTCGAATAGTTGAATGACACTTAACTCAGATTCTTTTGGTTAAAGATCACGCCAACAACGTGTACTTACCATTACTGAGTTCATACCCGGCGGGTTTGTATCCCTTTTGAACTGTATATTTTAATAATTCAATGGCGTTGGTTGGGTCCCATTTACCATCATTACGTAATAATGAATTAAAATCGAATATGAGTTGCCATCCAACTTCTTGGACGAATTGATTGAGGGTGTCCCAATCGGCCACTGAAATCCAAAGATTGACAGAGTAATACATTTCAAACAGTCACATATACAGGGACATTTTAAAGTCATGTTAAAACAACATTAATACTCTTCAATGGACGTCGATGTCTTCTCTACTTTACATATATACGCCACGCCTGGGGGCGTATTCCCAGTAATGGTTATATTTTTAATTTTGGTAGGTTGGGGGGGGGGGGCATTTTGCATTTATCAACCCTTGTAGTACAATTTCAAAGGTACAGTCTACTTTTTACGAACGCTTTGTCCAAAACATCCCGTGGGCCTGTCATGGCTACTTTAGACAGAGTTGTCATGACACGTAGGCGCGGTGATTCCACAGTATTTAATAGTAGAGTTTCCAAACTATTTAAAGTCTACAGCACCTGATTTTTTTTCTGGCCCAAATCCGTCGCTTTGAAAAAGAACTATCGATTATTGTATACCCAACTTACAATAGGCTTGTCCGTAAATCTGACACACCATTGGCTGTCGGCGACTATCGAAAAATGTATATCTTTGTCTTAAAAAAGATTATTGACAATGCCTTTTGTATTTTTCTTGTAAATTTTATGTCAATACACAAATCGGCAACTACGTCAATCTTTGACTCAATATTAAAATGAAACAAAAGCCGAATTGAGCGTAATCGCAAGTTCTTCCAGTATATTTATATTTGTTGTATACAAAGCTTGCAACGTCCCTGGCCCATACATATGGAACTAAGCATAGATATGTGTAATAATATAAAGATAATAAATGTTTAACATTTCCCTTTCAAATTGCATCTCAAATGAGGACAAATCTGTGTAAATATAATAACCTAAAACATTGTTTGCAATCCATTACAATAAGCACGTTAAAATAGAAGACGAAAATTAATAATATCAATTCAAGGTGCTCCTATACACAAACTCCTGTGGGATCAAGCAACACCTTTAAACGCAACACCAACTGTACGACAACCCCATTTCAGTTCACGAACAATCCAGAGGTTGAATGCACGACCTATGATCCAGCGCACCTGTATACACTTAAAAAAAGACCATAGTGCTTCTAGGTTAATGGAATTCAGTAGCCTTTCACAGAGAATTAATCGGTCTTGATCACTACATTTTATATAGAACATCTCCCCTGAGCATTACCTGTCATAGAAAAATCGTCGTTTACCAATCTCTGTTCTTTAAGAGCGGGCCCCTGTGTTTCATTAAAGATAAGAAAATCAGCATCAGTACCACCAACACGTAAATAACACGGATCCAATCCACTAGCTAGTGTCAACATCTGGTATGTTCTTTAGTATAACAATAATGATATATATATGTAAGAAATATTATTTACATATTATTAAAGAGAAACGTATATCTACATCCGGTACATAAAACGAGTGAGATGGAACCCCTAAAAATATTGAATGCCCCAAGGGATATTATCATATATATAGCAAACTGGTCCTGCGGTAAATCTTATTGTCGTGTATGGATATCTATATTTGAGCTGGCGCATGTTATCAATGTTTATGCACTGGATTCACTAGGAGAATCATTCTAGCGAACCCCTCGCAAGCGAATTTCATCTAGTGTGTCTAGACCTTCGACATTCGCCATTCGCCAATATCAAACATGTTTAATATCTATCGCCAGAATATTTATCGCCAATCGGCACCGGCATTCGCCTTGCGTGTCTACTGTGTTGCCCGAATACTTCGACCGAACTGTAGGCGAATATAATTCGCATAGTGTATCCCAGGCATAAGGGATATTAGTAAATCTTTTTCGGTCATTACTATACATAAGAACAGAATCATCGCATTAATTAGGAAATACTATCCATATGGATATTCATTAATCAACTTGTCCATGCTACCACCTACATATATAGGTAACTAAGGCGGGAACTAATAGAGAGTTCCTGCTGTTCTGCGACATCTGTCTAGGAACAACATCGACCAGTTTGACATTGTTAAATAATATTCACTCGGAAGGTATCGAATTGACACTATTGTAAATACTATCCATTTCCTTTCATGGCGGCTTGGCATTAACATGACGCGAAGAATATGAGAGAATATCGCAATATACATTTAATATCACACAGCAAATCTCATGATTTATGTCTCCAAGAGGCATAATGTGAGAAAAATAATTAACTAGTATCGGTTGTCTGAATATTATATGGCTTACAGCTAATGATCAGATGGTATCTTTAAGTATAACTTACGAAAAATCCATTGTTCTCCACTTGTCTCGAATAACTCCCGAATCAATGGTAACGCCCACAAACATCGAACTGTTTATATTGTGTACTGCTGGTGCTGTTACTATGTCAATGGTGATACATGATGTCTGGGAACTTATTGACAAAAACAGAACAATGCAACTTATTTCTTTGAGCGCCATTGTCTTATTCACCAGCACTATTGGAGCATTCAAAAAACGAAATGGCTATATCAATTGTCTGATTGGTAACTAACGTTATAAGATTATATGTTATCAAATTTGATTAAAATAGGCTAGATACAAATGATACTGAACTGATATTGATAAGAGAAGTCGACCAAGGTTACGCTATAGTCAATACAAAATTGAACAATGATAAAATCGCGACTTATAAGGATTACAACGATTGAGTGTAATCCTGAATCAGTGTTGCATAGTGGCAATGGCGCCAGGTACAATGTCTTGTCCCCAGGTTTGTCTTATCGGCTTTGTTTTGCATGTAGTGCAGTTCTTTTGCACTTACTATTAGAAATTTTTTTAAATCAACTAATAAAATTATATAAACGTCGGAACACAAATTGTTCAAAACTAAACTATATTTTATATTATTGATTATAGCCGGAGTAATTTTTTTTTAAACTAAAAATAAATTTTACTTTCTTAATATTATATTTGGAAATATTTTAATTGTATTTGCGCTTGTATGATATTATATCATTTAAAACGAATTAAATCAACTCAGTGTTCGACTATCACACAAATAAGTGAACAACAGCCCCACCCCCATATTTATTTAAGTGCCCCAGAACCCCTGATTCATCTTAATCCGACACTGTCAATATCGGTTGGAACTGGAACTTCCGTTCACATGAAAACAGGATACGCTTCGGGTATTATAGGTTATTTACCAACATGTACAATGTAAACATAATCACACAAAATTAATGACATAATCTTAACTCTTAATCTAGTAATATGCTAATATGAATATTTTAATGCATGTATCGTCTAACTTACATGATAAATAAGCTGTCAAACCACCGATTGACCTTGTTTCATAGCTAATAGAATCAGGGTATAGATAATTAAAAATTGTAAAAACTCATTAACTCTCTAAAACATCAATAGTATGCACCCATATGAAGAGGTTCCAGAGTATGTGCCCGACCCAATTATTTTTTAATGTTTCCAGGCCTATCACTTCGGAATCAATATATTGGTATCAATGCTATTTGACAGGACTGCAAGGTAATATAGACTTTAAGAAAAGTATACCTGCATCCAGTATGTAAAACGAGTTTTACTAATGATATAGCTTCTTGTGAAATGTCAAAATGTTTACGGAATTAAACAGACTACAATCTGTTTTAACACCAAAAATATGAGGGTGAATAAAACGTAATTGTGGCAAAAAATAACATACAAATCCTATATTAAGTATGTAAGAAAAAACCCGTATAAATTAGCATTGTTAAAAGTGTAAATAATCAGTTTTCGATAAGTATGGTGTATTTTTTATTGAATAAGCTAAAAAAAAATAAATTATTTGTCTGTAAAAAACAAACATTTACATAACAGAAGACAAAAAACAATGACTGTACAGATACTTAATTTTACGATTCCGCGTCGATAATGCAATATATTTACCAAGTATTATGTGAATTTACATACTTTAGCAATTTAATCATTATCCTTTTTATTTTTTTTATTTTTCGTGGGTACAGAATAATTCAGTAGAATTAGTAATTTTGAAGCCATATCTAATCTTTCACTGAATGATATATTTTTTCGCCAACTTTTAGTAGAATTACAGTGAATCTTTTATCAACAGTCGGGAACATAAATTTTGGCCTTTTGCATTGAACTTTACGAATAAAAGGCATCGTGGATGGATAAAATCTAATTTATCCTTTGAAAATTTGTTTAAAACAGATGCACAATTCCAATAGGATGAAAAACCCAGGTCCTGTGCATAATGTTAGCAACACGTTAAAGACCCACTGACAGTTGAAAATCGAAAACTGAGTAGGCCATAGCACCGCTGTCTGCGAAACTTTACTCCCTTCCACCCCGCATGATGTAAGAGTAAGATGCCACTATAGAAACAAAGAAGAGTATCCCACTCATTGCTGTTCTAGGTGAATACCTATTTCTGTCAATTCTATTTATTTTACTAGTTTTCAGAACCCCCACCCCCAACAGTATCATTCAGGTTACTACTGATGTAATCTGTGAAAACTATAATAACTTTTGTATTTCAAGGAATATTTTTTGAAAACCATCACTCTCAATATAAACCTCAGAATGCCTCGTTAGGGATTTTTGTCCAAACGTGGCAAAAACGTGCTAATAAAATTTTTGCCACAATTTTGCCAAGTTCTTTGTCGCAGTTTCATATGTTCACACAATATTTCCAACAAAGAGATGCGAGAAATGAAAAACAGCCAAGTTCAAAGAGGAGCGAACTCAATAATTGTTTTTAGGCCTTTGAATATTATTAATTACAAATATGCTGTTCCTTTTTCTTTTATATAATAAACGATATTATATTTAATATATCTCATGAAATTTTATGTATGTATGTATAAAAATTGCAAAAGCAATTAAATTAAAATCCATCGAAAAATGAAATAGACACAATTTATGTTTATATAATGACATGCAAAACGGGGCGGTGCGAACAACTATATTAAAAATGATAATTACATTTACATCCTTCAGGTTACCGGCCTACGTCTGGATTCTTATATAAAGGGTCGATCTGGACTATATTTTGGAGAATAAAACTGCTTAATTTTGTGTTAAAAGCCATTAAAATCTTCTACCTTTGAACCGAGCAACTAACTCAATATACATGATACGTTTTCATCTTAAACCCTTCGTTTATTATATAAAAACAGGAACAGCATGGTTTGGCTGAACCCCACCCCCAACCCTTTTGAAAAATCGGGTATCTAACCTTGTGATCAGCCTCGTTTTTGGAACTCAAGACAAACGTGTCATTTTGTTTTTACCACGTTACAACTTGGCAAAATTATGGCAAAAATTTTAATACGTTTTTGCCACGTTTGGACAAAAATGCCGAACGAGGCATTCTGAGGTTTATAGTGTCTGAGAGAGTTCTGTCTAAATAAATGCAAGGCATTTCATTTATTTCCAACCCACTTTCATTTCATTCCATAAATCTACAAAAATATATATTACAGTCAGACGTTATATGCATTACAATAAGCATATTAGCGTTAAGAGATTAAGAGAAGAATTATGTCGTTAATTCCACTCGAAAACACACGGGTATTGTGCGATGTATATTTAGAGCGCTAGACCAAAAGGTCCATTCATGACTAATGGCAATGCCCCCGACAGACCGGAGTGGCATCCTTACTGCGCTGCTGCGACCGTACAGCGAAAGAAAATTCACAAGGTCGCCGGCAAACTTGAACACAAATTTGAAAAAAGTCGTGTTCTTACAGCTTTTTGGGTCAGATCGCAGAACCCTGGCGTTTGTTTTGTACGTGCTCAAAACAAACGCCGTGACTCGGCGATCATTGGCGACCACGGAGACCACAACACGATATCTGGCGTTTCCACCACGCTTTTGCCACGCTTATGGCGATCTTGACACGCTATGCGACCATTTTCCGTCGCCGTAGCGTCGCAGTAAGGAGGCCACCCCGGTCTGACGGGGGTATAAGCAGTCACACTGCTAAATACGTTCGCGAGTCACTCGACACCATCGCAGTCCTTAGGGTATTTAAACATTGTACATTTCCATGTTAGGCTTTCATTGTGATAAACAAGTGGTATTTCTCATTACTATAGTATATTTATATGAACTACTACACCGGAGGTTACACACTGATCAGCAGTGAATTTTCGCTAAGCCGCTACAATCACTGATAAGGATGACATCGATGCGACTTAATGAGTCCCAAATATTAACATTTTTCTTCCGTCAAATTAAATTCTAAAACATTTTTTTCATTTATTAGAAAAATAAATAAAGACGTTTGAATTATCTGTAGGTAAAAATCATTTCCTATTTAGTGTAAATGGGTATTAAAATAAGTAATATTAGAATATCTCTGTGAAACAGAGAGAGAGAGAGAGAGAGAGAGAGAGAGAAATGGGGTTTAACGTCCACTCGACACAAACTAGGTCATTTCGGGACTAACATATGGTTTAATTTTATTTCAATAATTCGCTTGCGCGTAGGGGTCTTTAGCAGTGGGAGGAAACCGGAGGACCCGGAGAAAACCCACGAGGTTGGACAGGCGACCCTACTCCTTGCCACGTACAACCGGGAATTCGAAACCATGCCAGTCGACTCTGTGAAACAGATTGCGGAGGTTACTACACACATGTACGGTAATAATATACATGTGCATTAGGTAATATGATATATTAGATTTTATCAGCTGATCTAACACAGTTTTATATTAGGTAAACGTCTTCTTTCTTAATACTGTTCTTGACAGGCCATGCGTTTTGTAAAAGTATACTTTTTATATACTGGAGGTCTAATAAACATATCAAACACGTTAGCATAATTATTTCTTTGTTCATTGCATCACTGATCCCATAAAGGGCTAAGATTACATAGTATGTCAAAACTGTATAAAAAAAACACGAAGACAATATTCTAAAATATACATAATATTATTAAATATTTAAACGCAATCACTTGAGACTAGATTGAAAAATTTCTCTTGTCTGGTGCGTGTGAGATACGGAATTCGGGATATTTAACTTCGATCTCAAGGGACTATATTCATATTTTCATTCCTTTAATTATTCATTTTCCGTTCTGGGTGGGTGTTGGAGCGGTGGGGTGACAATGGGCTGGGTGCGCTTTAGATCAAAATGAAATGTCTGCCGCTGCTGGAAAGGGACCCAAGGCTATTTGAATTTTTTCACCAGTCAGAAGATTCACATTCAGACACGACATTGCGGCTACCGAAATTAATTGCGTTCAATATTTGTTTGTTTTCCACAACTTAGCTAAAAGGCCTTTGACGCCGTGAATGAAAAGATGCTACAGGCAACTCGGCGAGTTCCCAAGCTTAATGTCAACCCATTGGTATGTGTATGGGTTTCTTTAATTAATAAAGGCGTCTTATTTATACGCGTATAGAAAGACATACAGAAATAAGATACTTAAATGTTTCATTGGTACACGTGCGATGAGTGGATAGCTCTGCTTAATGGTGGAATTACATGTATTTGAATCATCGATTAGTTTGACCATCAAAACCTTATCGTGTTGTTTTATTTCTACATTATAATGAATGGAACTTTATCAGCAATAAATCTATCCATCAAATGGTTTCTCTATTATTTAAAAGAGAATGTTGCTCGCCATCAATTATATACATGTCATACATAAAATGGGGTTTAACATCCTACTTTTCTGCACCGAACGGGCCTCAGTGCGATATGAGGAAAATTTTTGGCCGGACAGTGGCGCTACCCTCGTGGCTTCTTTACGTTGCACGCCAATGTGTACGCGGGACATCGGTTTTTAGTCCCACCCTAACAACTAAACAAGGACTTGTAAAATGAAAATTATAACAATTTATTAGTTGGAGCCCAAATATCAACTCCAAAATCCAATTGCAACACCAGAAAAGGCGGGAAAATATGGGATGGAAAGACAGTCAGTGAATCACCTCCTTGGACTACGTTACTTTTGATTAATTGGAGCTGTCCTGAAACCATAATTCTTACCTGTGTTATAAAATAAAATCGTATAGTATCATTATTTATAAAGTAAAATCTAGTACAAAATATTATTTATTACACTGTGCAATATAACAAATTCCAAATCCATAGCAACCGGGGTTCATAATCCAGCATGCACTTATCTTTGTTCAGCTATATTTTTGTAACACCTTTGACGTGTTCTTGATATCGATATAATAAAAGCAAATTCATTCGTCTTAACTAAGCACGTATTTCAGAGAGGGAGAGAAATGGGGTTTAACGTCCACTCGACGCAAACCAGGTCATTTCGGGACTAACATATGGTTCAGTTTTATTTCAATAAGTCGCTTGCGCATTGGGGTCTTTAGCAGTGGGAGGAAACCGAAAGACCCGGAGAAAACCCAAGAAGTTGAACAGGCGACCCCACTCCTTGTGACGTACAACTGGAGAATCGTAACCACGCCAATTGACTTATAATACAGCGCGCACGCGCTAACCATTCGGTCAACCACCCCCACCCCCCACCCTCACGTATTTCAGATTCATGACATGACAATGATTAACTTATTAAAGATGCATCATGTAAGAGCTAAATCTGCTCAATGCATGTCTTTTTTTTTACTTCAAATGTTGTATAAACTATTATTTAAACATTTATGATCATGACCACCCCATATTTAATGATTTAATCTCGAATAACAAGTACCATTGTTACGATAATAAACAATCAGTCCAACATATTGTCAAAACTCCAAACATTATTCATTTTGCATCATCTATTTTTGAATTATTATAACAAGAACGGTCAGCTTTGTATCTAAATCTTACACAATGTACCTTTAATAAGCAGCTTAACAGTACTACTATTTCACCCGAGTAGCTTTAAACGATCGCTATGCTGCCATTACCTTTTGCTGAATCGATTGGCAATGTAGACGATATCTTTATTGCAACAGCTCTGTCGAAGCTATGTTATAACTAATATCGCGAGCGTATACAGAGTTGCGAGCGTCGGATAAGTGCGCCAATGTGGAAGTTTTCTAACAAATTATAAAATCACGAAATATGGATATAATTTAAATTTCCGAGGCTTTTACTTTGGAAAATTCCTTACAAAAAAGTTGCCAAAAGTTTACCGCCTTTTTATTCATTACAAACTCTAAAACAAATAGAAATTTTGACTTAGAATGGAACTCGTTTATAAAGGTAATCAAACGAATAGCGGAAACAAAACATTAAACGACACCTTAGAATTTAATTTGGAGGCTGAAGTTTCAGACACACGTTTTTATGAATGGATTTTAATATGTCTTTCTGTTATTGTTTTTGTGATGGGTTTGGTAGGAAATGCCTTAGTTTGGTTTTCCGTGTGGAGAAATCCACGCATGAGATCCCCAACAAATATATTTTTAGTGAATCTGGCTCTAGCCGACTTTTTGGTGATTTTGATTTGCTTACCACCCACCGTTATAGCCGATTATATGGGAATGTGGATATTAGGCACTGCGATGTGTAAAGTTATATCGTATTTACAGGTAAGTTTTTTTTTATAAATCAATTGAAATGAAATGGGGTTTAACGTCCTCCTTTTCTGTACCAACCGCGTAAATAAAGATGGGCATACCCAATGTAGTGTGCTATGAGGGAAATTTTGCCCTGACAGCGGCACTACGGTCTACTCTTATAACAAATTCCAAGTCAAGGGTTATTTTACGTGTACACGGGACCTAGGTTATTTGTCCCATCCCAACGACTAGACACTCCTTCCTGCAACACTGACAGGGGGGATTTTTTCGTTCGTCCAAAACAGGGAACGGACCCGAGACATCCTTGTTAATCACTATAAGACACCGCGGCTCCCAAGTCATTATCTAAACAGTAAACGAATGAATGAAATGGCGTTTACCGTCCCACTTTTCTGTACAAGTAACGTCTAACGGTTTAATCCAGGACACATTTCAGGTGGTAGCCCTTTCTCAACTGGTTACATAAAATACTTGCGGGAGTTGGCTCAGGGAAGATTGGCATTTTCCAGACTGGTTTCTTGTCAGTGGTGCAGGACAGGATTCCTGGCAAGGAATAGTGTGCAGTCTTGGACGAGAATCCGTGAACTCTTGTACACGCTGCCTTGCACGTAAAATGAAAGGTTGGGGAAAATGCCAGCCAAAATTAGCCCGGTTGATGTAGAAATTTAGGACGTTAAACCCCATTTATTTCATTTCTAATGTGCTTGAGGATTCATTTTGGGGAATTGTTCGGTCATACCGCAAGGCTATTACTAAGATCAATTCCAAATTCCGTAAAAGTCACGCGCCGTAAATACACAAAAAAATAATAACTAAGGTATATGACCCAATTTTAATTAGACTTCGCAAAGTTACACTATGATCGCATTGTTGTTTTAACTTTTTCAGAAAGAAATATTTTTATGCGGATGTATTTCTGAATAACATCACGCTGAAAATAACTATACACATCTGGTTATAAAACATAGACGCTCACCAGAAACAAAGTAGCCCATACTAGTTCTAAAATCGTTTTATTAACACGAAGGCGCAGTTATTGACCGTAACGGATTAAACTAGGTCGTTTTAGACGACTTCGTTGGAATCCGGTTCATTCTCACCCAGCTCAAAACTTAAATAATCATGTTAGCGTGACTAAGGTGTTAATTGGAATTTCTAAAGAAGGATTAGCTGTAGTCTGTTTCACATTGGGCACTGTTTATTTCATTAGGTTAAACCTAATAGTAAAACAAAATCACTTGATAATGTTTTATTCAACATTTATTATAATAAAACATGTTTATTTTAACACTTTTAATATAAATGGAAAAACGTAATATAAAAAATAAATAACTAAATAGCACTATGAAATGAGCATCAACATTAAAAATATATATTTCATATGGGCAAGTAAACATTTCATACTTTTTACACTAAATGGACAAGATGAGATACCGCATCTACATAAAGCATGATGTCTCTTTGACCATTTCGGAACTGATCTGTCAATGCTTGAAGTCTCTCTTCTAGTTCACGGTAGGCTTTCTTCTTTGGCCTAGAAATGCCGTTAGCACTGAGCTGTACAATTCTTATTTTGATTCATTACTTTGTAAAAAATCACTCATTAAACACAGTTCACATGACACTTATTAAACACAGTTCACATCCATATATGGTTAATCCATATCTAATTAGGTGAACACATTTCAGCTACAGACCATAATCCCCCAGCCCTAAACCCTTAATCCCCTTAATCAATATTTTGAGCTGGATGAGAACACCCCGGGACTCCAGCATCTAGAGATTAAAATGGATTAAAATCGTAACAATGGTGTTATAGATCGTTAAGATAAGAATTTACACTTTCATAATCCCCAATGTAACTAATTAACCAACATTTTAGCATCATTTTTGGCATAAGAAATGAAAACATAACTACACTATAACAAAAATTATATTAATTTCGCCAAATAAGACACCTTGTCTAAATACTCGACCGAAGTCAATTCCTCTTCCTCGTATCTTCCTTTAAATTCCTGGAGCTGGCTTTGGATTTGAGCATATTTATATCTCTTCCTTGGTGGTTAATATTTTGTTCTTGTTGTAAAAATGTGATCATTTCAAAACCATTCGGATGGGCTTTTCCAACTAGCTTCTTGATTCTTGCATGCCATCCTACCAGAGTGTTGTTGGTTCAGAGTGAACATAAATTCATAAAATCTTTAACACCGTTAATTGGGTCCTAAAAGCAACATGCCTCTCTTCAAACGAAAGCCGACAAGTCGATATCTGCGCCTTCACGGGAAGGATTAATTTTGGTCACGCTCTGTAACTGCGCCTTCGTGGGAATACACCCTAAAATCCACTGTCAATACATCCGGCTCGGCAAGTTTTAAAAGTAATGTCACGATGAACTCTGACCTCCTCTTTATCAGTCAAACTATGAAAGGAAAGACAACTATACGCAAAGTGTATTCTAACTTTACGATGTGACAATTTTGAAAATTGATAGGGTTCTTTCTCTGCAATCCCACAGGATATTTGAGAATTCAATCATCCGATCGAAAAGTTCAAAAAACCTCACGAAGTCAGAAACAAAAAGTCAGAAACAAAAAGTCCTGGGGCCTGTTTCACGAAATTTTAACTAAGATAAAATCCAAATTTTAGTAATTGGATTGGATAATATTAGATTGATTTTAGTGCTTAGCCAATCAAAATTGAAGTATCTACTAAAATTTGGATTTTATCTTTAGTTAAAATTTCGTGAAACAGGGCCCAGACCTTTGTCTTTTATCTGAATTTCTGGTTGATGCTTAATGTATGCTTCCACAGTATTGATGCCGCAGACAATTTCCTCTATAGCATTTCTAATCCCCGTCTGCATTAGGCCAGTTGGTGCAGAAAAGTAGGACGTCAAACCCATTTCATTTCAGTTTTGCATTCACAAACTATAAAAGTCAAACTATGGCCGGAAATATAACTGTGGTCTGTATGGCGTTCACAACTATGGGTGGAATAACTCTGCTACGTGCGATCGAAAATGTCGATATAGGACTCTGTGACACTATGGGGACAGATGATCGTCTAGAACCTGCTTGGACTTCACGTTATTGGATCAATTATCTCAATCATCAATTAATTGACTCTGGGACACCGCACCGTTTATGTTGTTACTAAGTTTATCTAACGAATACCGAAAAATACAAAGGTTACATACACGAAACTACAATATCTATGATAGTTACTTTTCGAGTTATTAAAATCTCCACGGTCTGAGTTTAATATCCTTTCTAACTCAGACCTAACGGCTTGAACGTGGCAAGAGCCACATACTTCTTGTTAGTTCTACATAAGGTTCGCGCTAGGATGATGTGTTCGCCCTAGCCTCTAAGCCGAGGAGGCTATAGGTATGTTCCCCTTGAGCTCCGAATGATTGTCTGAGCGTAAATCAAATCCGCTCTTTCCTATATAGAAAATGTAACGCGTCATCTATTAGGGCGGGGCAATTACCATTTTTGGGTAAGTGTTTCATATAGACACCGTTTAACGTCAAGCTTATTTTATTTCATTGGACTAATCCGTGCACGAGATGACTGGACGATAGTACCCTACTTTCCAGAAATGGGTACTGACATAAGTGTCTGTGAGTTAGTCTAAGTCTAGACTCTAAGTTAGTAGTAGGATAATGCAAGCTACTTCATTACCCTAGTTTTCGTCACACATCATGTAGGTAAAGATTTCTATATTAAACAGAACACTTTTCTTAGACCTAAAATAACCCTATAGTGTTATAACTCTTCCTTATAACAAATGGACAATACCTGGATTTTTTTACCTTTAAAGTGATAACGGACTTTCATAAGCTCCACCCAAACCACACGACAATTTGTACAGCTCGTGATTTGGCAGATGGCTTGTCAGATTTGTCTCAGACTTTTCTACACGTTTTTTTTTATTTTGTCGTTAGTAAATCTGCTATAACTAAATACTTCCACATTGTTGTGTAGGATATGTTTTCTTTGTTCATTACAAATGGCACAACTCGTGTACTAATTATAAGATTTTCATTGTGTCTTAAATTTTGTATATTAGGATCCTATATTTCACGCAAAGATAACAACATTAATATTGATTGAAATTGACCAATATTGGAATCTAATTTGTGTTTTTTTATTTCGAATAATATGGAAAATATTGAGTTATTGGTTTATCCCCTTTAACATGTTCGATGCCGTCTAGCTTAGTCAAGTTGCGGTCATGAACGGCTGATTCCGGTCAAAAAATAACTCCCCACGAGAAGAGAGCGGGGAGTAGTGTGAGCAACAATAAGAATCTGAATGATGCTACCACCACAGGGTAAAATTCATTAAATATATAGACAGCTGATAACATATGTGTGTACATAAAACTGATTATCTATCTTCTCAACCAAGATACCAAACGAGGGTGGGATTTTATATTTATTTATTTTTTCTAGATCATTGATAACCTTTAGTATCTGCAAATTATTTTTGCAAAACAAACGTTATTATTTGTTTTGTCTTTGTATTTCTTAAAATCAGTTTCAATTGATCATGCTTTTAGTATGATCTAAAAGAGATGTCTAAAATGAACAAAATAACCTGGATATCAATCTCATTAAAGTATAGATCCTATTTAGTTTCATTTTTTAAAGTTCAAAATTACGATTTACTTGTCTTTACTACACGAGGATCTGTAAAATTTGTTAAATAGGCCTAAGCCGCGTTCTGGTTGATGTAGGGGATTAGCCAATCATGGTCTGTTGCGTCGAGTTTTTAGCGTGCGGTGTGTGGAACTGTGGGTAGACTAGTCTGGGACACCCAGAATATCGTAGTGGTCAGCGTACGGGGGTGTGGGCAATTTGACGAAATTGTACAGGAAAATCAACTACATGAAATAAAACTCCCGGTTACGCATGGGCAATGAAACAGTTTTCTTTTATCTGAAGTCAAGAAAGAGTTCAACCCTTATTATAGACAAACATGAGAGAAATTTTGAACAGGCAATGC